TGTATATTTCTTTGTATTCCCTTACCACTTTTTGCTCAATACATTCCAACTTGTATCATTTTTATCTCCCTTACCAGCCACTTCACTTCCTTGTACAGGTTGACCATCACTAATCTGGCATCATCAGGACTTGCAGGATGCTGAATTAGTGATTTTGCCAGATCCCAGAGTTGTTAGAGTAGAATACACTTAACCCAATGGCGATATTTATGCCCTATTTTTTGGCCCATTCCCTTGTTCCAGTCTACCGAACTCATAGCTATTTTGTTAGTATTCCTTCTATTCTGTTGACTGAGTACAAGAAACTGCCCATTTACTTATTCCAACTACCCAGTAAAGTGGTCAGAAATCGGTAATTTGGCCAATTTCACACAAATTTCCAGACATGCCAATTTCAAAATAGGGTCCAGAATAAACAATGCAGACATTTCTGTACTGTACTAACAATTCTTCTCCTCCTGCCCCCCCCCCCCCCCCTCTAATAATTATGAACATTCACTACACACATCAGTTCTTCATTTATAAATCCCCACCATATATAACCACCCTGATATTTTCTTCATCATTTTTCTTCCAAGTTGCTCATAACCAATTCATCATATTGTATACAACTTGCCTAAACAAACATGGCAGGAATATAGTGTATCATAGTCTGAGCATAAGCTAGTGTACAAGAATACCAGTATGTACATGAAGTATACTTTCATTATACAAAGCATCAAGGGTCAACAGTGTGGGAGCATAATCAGAGACAAGAAGTCTGATCATGTGATGAAGCTTGGTTTCCTGGAGACAAATACAGTACATACAGGAGGAACTTGGAAAAATCAACAGTTGAATCTCTCCCTGTTGTTCTTGTATCCTTTGCTATTTCACTGGATTATAGATATAAAGAAAAGGATAGTAAAAATGCATTTATAAAAAAGATGGGCAGTCAATCATATCTGGAGAAGTCGGAAAGCAACTGCAAAGAAAAGGATGGATTAAGGAACTATGCGTGGGGAAAGAGAAAACACAATCAAAGTGACATAGCAAGTGAGGAATGGAATAGAAGGCACAGGGACTGAAGCAATACACATCACAATGTCTGGGATGGTTAGCAGATTCACAGCTGAGCATAAGGAGTTGCTTGCACTCCCAAGACAGCTCACATTTGCAAGAGGGCAGTGAAGCAGTAGCCTCTATAGAAGCACAAGCTCTAATGAATCCTTCTGATACATCATGAACTGCATTTAGAACAAGGAGTGACTGAAGGCAACAGACATAAATAGAGGTACAACTAGGCAAGCAACATCTGTCCTTTGACACATGGCAGAGGCAGGGTGCACTCAAATTTTTGGGGTGTTGAGGACAAAAACATGACCTCCATATTTCACTGTGATAGTGGAAGTGGTAGAGCTCCAAGAGGTATTAGTGGCTAAAGATAAGGAAGGCCTTAAAAATAATTGTGCACTGGGGCACAGGAATAAAATAGGTGTCACTGGAGGGTCAGGTTAACAGGTTATATGAAAGCCTTGCAAGATAGGGATGGGGATGAGTGTTATCTCCCACACAACTGACACAGCTAAGTGTGAAGGAACTACAAGAGGGTGTCACTGTGGGCTGTAGTCACACATACAGTAAGGCATTTGGAAGTTGGATAACAGCTCTTCACAGGATGACCAAACAATTAGCAGTACTGCAACCTCTGTAAAGTAGACAGCATTCTTGTAGCTGTCCCTCGCCAAAAAAATTGCTGATGGACATGAAAATCAGTCACATGTCATTTTGGCCATCTTCCTTGAATGGAGGAAACAACAGTATGTGTGCAAGGCCAATGTTTCTGAAATATAGAGACAGAAAGACCTTGAGTTGGCTGCAGAAGTCTCCTGTTCATTTCTCAAAGGATTATGTGAGGAAGACTATCTGAAAAATGATGACCATCCCACAGTACAAATTTACTTTGACATGGTAACTGACAGTGAAATAGGTTACTGTTAAAAAAAAATAGAGTGTTTGCATTAAAGATAGTGTACTTTCATTTAGGAGGTCATTTAACCCTTTGACTGTTTTTGTCGTATATATACATCTTAGGAGCCAGTGTTTTTGACACATTAAAATGCCAAAATTCTAGCGGCTTAAATCAACCAGGAGGAAGCTGGTAGGCCCACATGTGAGAGAATTAGTCTATGTGGTCAGTGTGCACAGTATAAAAAAAATCCTGCAGCACACAGTGCATAACAAGAGAAAAAAACTTCGACTGTGTTTTTGGATTAAAAAGCTGACTTTGAGGTGTATTTTCGTAAAGTATTTATGGTTGTATTCTCTTTTTCTTGGTCTCATTTGATAGAATGGAAGACATATTACAGAAATGGAGATGATTTTGATTAGCTTTACATTGAAAAGGACCTTGAAATTGAGCTCAAAGTAGCGGAAATGTTCGATTTTTGCCGATGTTCATAGTAAACAAATCACGCCACGCATCCAATACACGTCAACTGGTGAGTCTAATAGTATTCTTTCACAAGTGCATTGATATTATTTATACCATTTTTACAATAATGCAGTAGTTTGCATAACAGTAAATCTTCTATTTTTTGTGTGAATAAAAATTCAAAATAGAAAGCAAGAGTAATATAAGAGGAGCCTGGAGATGTGACTAATGAACAGAGAAAATGTTACTTTAGTTCCAGGAATGTCTCTATTGTTTATTATGGACCCTATTTTGAAATTGGTATCTTTTTTAATTTGCATGAAATTGGCCAAATTGCCAATTTCTGACCACTTTATTGGGTAGTTGAAATCGATAAATGGACAGTTTCTTGTACTCAATTGATAGAACAAATGGAGTTCTAAAGAAATAGCTATGAGTTTAGTTGACTGGAACAACGGAATTGGCCAAAAATAGGGCTCAAAGTGGGCAAAATCGCCGATGTGTATATATCACCGAGATCGCTAACTTCGTGAGAGTGTAATTCCGTAAGTTTTCCATCAAATTTCGTACTTTTGGTGTCATTACCATTGGTAAAAGATTCTCTGTCATTTCATAAGAATTTTTTTTTTTTTTTTCAAATATTTTGCAACAGAGACACACTTCAGGATTTGGGGTTGCTACAGTCACAGGGTTAAAGTGCATCCCGGGGCATTAGAGATATCAAAAGTGAATTTTGTGTGCTCTCATAGACAGAACAATCTATTAGGATATAGCACAGACAACCTAATCTAACCTAACCTGCCAATCTTGGCAGAGAGACTAGATGGTTTTTCATGTGGTATCTGATTTGTAATCATAGGAACAAAGTTTCCTATATTCAACAGTGATGGACAGAAAATGGTCATGAACTAATTATGGTATGATGGAAAACAATTTGTTATTGAGGGATACTGGGAAATCATTTGAAAAAAGGAGCCACTCCCTGTGAAAGACCGAGAGGTTGTGAATGGCAGCTCAACTGGCTGAGTCTATAGGTTTGTTGTCCTGAATGTGTGTCCAAAGACCCAGCAAAAGAACTACCTCTTTATGTTTGCTAGACATACAACATAACCATTGTTGTACATGGCTGAAAAAAATATTCAGTGAATATTTACAAAATGCACAGACTACATTCCTAATATCGACTGTGTAATGTAAATAACATATGGGAAAAACAAAGTTAGATTCTACCTCCAAAAAACAATTAAGTGCTTATTTTGTCAAGAATAAAAAAATTTTTGATACTTTACATTGTAGCTGTCATTGCTTGTTGACATAACACCACCATTTGTCATCACCTGACAGCTATCAATCACCCCCTTTCACCATCACCTATGGACAGTATTGCATAACAAAGGTGCTATCACCACCACCTAACACCACTTTCCACCATGACCTGGGAGAGGATTGGTTGTTGATGCATTTTAGAGTGCACAATGTGCAGAACCTTCCAAAGAAAACTGGCAAGACATTACTTCCAGAGAAAATGGGTATGGTTCAATAGTACACTGGTGACCATTATAGCTTCAACATACAATTTGCTAAGTTTAAAAGGTTATATAAAACAGCTTTTTTGTTACTGTACCTTAAATTCTGGTTGCTGCTGCATGTTGACTTGGATGCATGAACTGCCTCCACTATACAGTCACCACCTTTAAGCAAGTCGACCTTTTTTCCAAACTAGGCATAATTCCAGGCTTCAGCATCATTAGTATGTCTTGTTGGTGCCATGGTAATACAAAGAAATGAGAAAAAATAATGAAAAGATCTTAAATATGGAGCAGTGGTATGGGAAACATCCATAAACAAACCACATGGGTGGGTGTAACAAAAAGAAGGGCCAAGATTGGCCTCCCCTAAAAAATGGAGATGTCCAAGGCACAGAAGGGAATTTTCCACACAGGAACCCAAGCTTACTGAATATACATTATCAAAACTGTACACTTTATTAGTTGCAGTTCCTCTGTATAATGTATATGTTGCCTGTTCCTATTTCCTTTATTGTATTCCTTGAGAATATGACTGATACATCACAAAAGTATTTGGAAAATATTTTTTTTACTATGATTAAATTGCATTCTTCGACCACACTGGTGGCTTAGCGCTCCTTTTTGATTATAATAATAATAATAATCGACCACACTGGTCATCATCTACCTAGGCAGGGTGACCCTTAAAAAAAGAGAAACTTTATTCATCTACACAGTTATCTTGCCAGAAGTGTGCAACATCACAATTCAAGCAGCCCTCCAAGCAGCAATATACCACCTCTCCTTCAGAGTGCAGGCAATGTATTACCCACTGCCAGGACTCAAATCTGTCTAACAGGTTTTCCTGAATCACTTTTGGCTTTAAACACCCTCTATGAATTTCCCTTCCCTTATGGAGAGGCCACACAGGTAATAGTATCTTTATAGTTCAGCCATATTCAAAGTGATGAACTGTCTTTACAAGGCATTTGGAACACTTGCTTAAGAATTCTTACATAAAGTTACTTTAACCAGTGAATATAGCATGTTGATTAATAATGGATAATAAGTATAAGAACTCTGTCTTTTAAAATTTATGTTAAGAAATACATAATTACATCATAGAGAAATAATGAAATAGACAAACGATTGATGATTGTTGTTCTTAAATGATATATACAAGGGTGTTTCCCATGGAAAAAACATCAAGTATTTGAAACAGACACAAAAATGTAAACAGTGGACAACATTTTGTGATCATATGATTATTATAACTATATAAAATATAGATTTTTATCTGATAACTATTACTGTATCTTGATTACCATCCCTTTTGTGTCCATTTCAAATTCATATGTTTTATGTGATGGAACAATTGATCATGAACCTTTTGCTTTACCTTCACAAGGTTCACCCTCCATTGTCACAAAACATCTATGCACAACTGAGAAGCTCCATTGTGTATCAGTACATGAGCAGCAGAAACTTTTATATTTTTTCAAAATTTCATACAAAAATATGATCAATCTTTCATATACAAAAATGTGATTTGTATTTCTTAAGGCATTTCCATTATGAAAGTCTATCTTTTGATAATTCACTCAATATAACGGAAGAACCTTGCATGATTTAATTGCCGGGATTACATCTCATCGTGTTACAGTATTGAATAAAGTAATAATTACTTTGTGACAGGCTCAGCAATTCTTAGCATGTGTCAGATTTTTAAATCTGGCTCAGTTTATATATAACTATTACTGCATTCACTAAATTCCATTTTATTCTTTGTCACTGATTACTGTCATTTCCTGTAATAAAATTAAACTTATATCTATGGTTTGATATTTAACAGATTTATTTTTGATTATATGATGACTGAACCTTTTGCATAGTTTAGCCACTAACTGTCATTGGCTAAGTCAATTTTTTTAATAACAAAAAAAAAAAAAAGTCATTTACATCATCCACAGCAAACAGTGACTAGACATCACAAAATTACTGAATGCAGGGACCAAAATTTTTTTTACCTTTTTAGCTAATAATTGTTGCTCCTGCCAGAGTTGTGGAATTTACTCACTACGTACGTGCAATTTTTTCACCGGTGACGTATTCACTTTTAACATATTAACAAGGGTTTTGCCATCTCACTGTGTGTGATTCTGGTATAAAGATCAGTTTTGATGCAGCTTTTTGGGTTATTTTAATCAATTTTACCTTAGTAAATTAACAATATTAGAGTCAAGCCTAATCCACAAAAAGCTGGGATGAAGCTCAAGAATTATAAAAGTAAGAAAAGTATCTGTGTCAACTTTCTGCTAATGCACATCGTTTTTCTCTCTCTCAAATTATAAATAAAAAAATACATTTTCTTAAAACTGAGACTTTGCAGAACAAACAATTTCAATGATCAAATATCATTGATTTTTAAAAATTTGTGTGCAGTGACCTTGACATGACGACATGTGTTAAGTGGCACTGACATGACGACATGTCTGCTGTGATCCTGACATAACATGTGTGCTGTGGCCCTGACATGACATGTGTGCTGTGGCCCTGACATGACATGTGTGCTGTGGCCCTGACATGACAACATGTGTGCTGTGGCCCTGACATGACATGTGTGCTGTGGCCCTGACATGACAACATGTGTGCTGTGGCCCTGACATGACATGTGTGCTGTGGCCCTGACATGACAACATGTGTGTTATGGCCTTGACATGACAATGTGTGCTATGGCCCTGACATGACATGTATGCTGTGACCTCTGACATGATGACATGTCTGTTGTGGCCCTGACATGACAACACACGTGCTGTGGCCCTGATATGACATGTCTACTGTGGCCCCTGTCATGAAGTGTGCTGAGGCCCTGATTCAAGCTTCGTCCCTGCCAAGTGACTGATCTTTTATTCTCTCGAAACAATTCTACAAACTTGTCTTCTTCATTAATGTGTAAAATCTGGTATTCATTATTTTACTGTAACTTGTACATATAATGACTTCTGGAGAACACCAAATTTTTTTGAAAAAAAAAAAATTAAAAATATTGGAAAGAACTTCCAATTAACATATATATACAACAACAGTAGACTGTTTTTTGTAAATGTCTTAAATTAACATATTAGAATGAAATCAGTCTTAGGTAACATTCAAGTTACAACCAGTTTTGACTTGACAAATATATTAAAAAAAAAAAGCCAAGATATTAATCTAAAGCAACATTATAATGCCAAATATATCTGATGAGGCCAGACTAGAGTAATTATCAGGAGCAGTTGTATATTTGTTTTACAGTTAAAAAAACTGCAAAAAAGTCACATCCACCAGTTGTTTAATTAAAACACTGAAGACAGGAAAAATTTGAATTAATGCACTGTGGGTTTTTTTTTTTAAATTATCTTCAAAACAATATTAATTTTCTTTTATTCTGCAGTATAGAGGGGGAATAATATCAGGAGAAAAACTGTTTTGAGAAAAAAATATCACTTATTTGTCAATCTAAAAGTTTGAGAAGACATATGAGAAATCAGAAAGATGTTAAACTGTGACAAAATAACTGAATATCTCTGTAATGTATTACTGCCTCAACCAAGAGAACAATTTAAAAATTGTTACACAAAACTTTAAAATTCATCACACAAATAATACTGACATAATATTACTGTATCATCTATTTAAAAAAATCCTAAACAATCATGATAAATGATAATTAGATGAGAATATGTTCACTAAAAGCACCACCCTATATACAGAATATTACAATAAAATAATAAATCCTAATTATATTTAAAACATTAGTGAAAGAGAAATAAAATACACCTTGCAGTTGCATTAACATACAGTATATGTACTGTAAATGATCAATGAATACAATTTATTCATTTACATTTGATGTAGAATAATTCAGTCATTTACCACATTTTGTTCTCACTTGCATTCCAATCATACAAAGAAAGTGGAATAATGCTTAAATCTATTCTTTTTCTTGTCTTGTGGTAAACTATTGTTTTCTGTCAAATTAATCTGAATGGTTAAATAGTACACTCGTATGCTTTGGTTCGGATGCAAGTACGTACAAATATAACCTAACCATCAAATATATGGTATGCCCTGTGTCCATATTACATATGTTTTAATTTGTAAAGGTTTAGTTCTCAACCTGTCTAAAAAGATAAAAATATGCTAAGACCATTCCTTGGGAGAATCTTGAGTGTGTTATCTGGACCCTATCATTTAATTCTGTGATTTGATTGATGATAATGGTAGCCAAACTCAACGTACGGGTGACATGCTGTATATAATATGAAATTGTGCTTTTATTCAGGTTTATGCTATAATTTTCATCAATCATCCCACACCATAATGACTTGGCCAGCAATTGTTGACCATATGACAAGAATTCATATATGTAGTGTAAAGATAACACTTCATTTTGCACCAGTTTTTAAATCTGTCTATTGCTGGCCATGCCAAATTTCATGGAAGCCCGGAGTTTTCATGCTCAGCACTATGCTGTGGTGAGATCAACAACTGTGACCCTTGTACTGTCTCAATAAAACTTATCATTAAATACTCAATATATAATAATAAGCTTTACTTACACACAGCCTTGTGTAGCAAAGTTGTCTGTCTATAATCTGATCAATGTCTTCCATGAACATTGGAGCAATTGCAAAAACTGGCCTATAATCACATTTCTGTAATGATAATAAACAACAGCCTTAATTTATTACACAGTAATAGGCTGTTTGTGATGAAAAACATTCTGTACATCAACTGCAAATATACTTAAAATAATGCTTATGAAAGTACCCTGATCCACTGGAGATGAACATTAAAAAAGATCAAGATCAGAAAACAGTAATCAGCACAAAATTTAAAGATTACTTGTTGACAGAAGAATAGCAGCAACAAATCTTTAAAACATGTGAATGAATGCCTTCTAAACTTGACTTTTTTCTTAAGAAAAGCCCATCAAGTACAAATCCACAGCACAAGTAGTCACTGGTTTCTTTTCTCAACATTTTTATTCTCAACTTATCATCATCCTGGCCATTACCATCTATTTGTTTATTTGAACAAGTGCGACTTGCCCCAACACCCGAGGTCCACACACCACAACTTTGGATAATGTCTTTTCACTTTCTATATACTTCATGAGGCTGACCATACCGACGACACTCTCTCTTTCTGAAGATTAATTTCCTCACCAACTTTCGGAATCTTATGACAATAATATTTTCTTTGGCAGACAATTCCATGTCTTCATCACTCCAATCAACTATTCACCCATCTCCATTTTCATTATATATGGAATTACAGAGTCTATCTGTACATTTCCTATTAGGCCTGCAAAAAACAACTCCTCCATTACCTGTAAAATAGAAAATGATGGTGAATTTTAATACAGGGATTAACATGGGACAATTTTAAAGAATAACTGTATTCTGTATTTAATTAAAAACATAAAACAAGGTATTTAACTGAAAACATTGACATATGAACACTATACAGTATCACTTAAAGAAATTTTGAAAATCTTAAAAGTACTCGCTAGAGCCACCATAGCAACCGGCACATCCATCAAAGACCCCACCAGGACCAAAATGGAGAACCTTGCTCATAAGAAATAAAAAAATTATTTTATTATATTTTATGAACCAATCAACATAGGGGTTACATAATCCCTTGTGGATGCTGTGACAAGGTATACATTGGTGAAACAGCACAAAACCTAAGAACATGTCTGAAAGAAGACATCAAAGCATGCACAAGTAACAACTTAAACAACACAAGTGTACAACATTGGAACTTTTCCAACCATCTGATGAAATTCAATGACAACTGCTTACTGAGTAAAGAACCAAATAATTGTTGACAAAAATGCACTGAATAACTATTAACCTCAATTTAAGACACCAATAGAATAAAGGCAGTATTGTTATCTTTGAAAATTAACACACGCTCGCTTGTGGTCAACACTGCTAAAAGCTTCAATGTGCTCCAAGCTTTGGTTGTCAACTTCATGTGATATTATAAACACTAATTTCACTTCTCCTCCACAGATATTTGTTTAGTTACCGGGAAGTAGTCTCCCTCTCTTCTACACACCCTAACCTGAACCTCACTATCCTCATAAAAACTCTTTACAGCATTTAGTAACTTACCACCTATTCCATATACTTGCAACATCTGCCACATTGCTCCCCTATCCACTCTATCATATGCCTTTTCTAAATCCATAAATGCAATAAAAACTTCCCTACCTTTATCTAAATACTGTTCACATATATGCTTCAATGTAAACACTTGATCTACACATCCCCTACCCACTCTAAAACCTCCTTGCTCATCCGCAATCCTACATTCTGTCTTACCTTTAATTCTTTCAATAATAACCCTACCGTACACTTTTCCTGGTATACTCAGTAAACTTATTCCTCTATAATTTTTACAATCTCTTTTGTCCCCCTTCCCTTTATATAAAGGTATTATACATGCTCTCTGCCAATCCCTAGGTACCTTCCCCTCTTTCATACATTTATTAAACAAAAGTACCAGTACACTAATATCACTAGAGGGCATGTGATAAATAATGTTTCAGCAATATCACTTAGTGATCTGCCATTTAAAAATTTTTTCCATTTAATTGACACTTATTTTCTTTTATTCTCTTCCATTTTTTCATTCTATGCAACTATTGCTATCTATAAATATTACAGGCATTTCTAGTTTTGTTTGTTTACGAAGAAAACTATTGCATTTCTAATATAATTTAAACAAGGAGTAGTAAGTCTTATATAAAACTTTCATTGCACTGAATATTTTGAATATGGTACATGGCATAAAATATTTTGTTTTTACCTGTGGCTGGAGTGCTTTGAGCGTTGGTAATTTAAGGAGGAGTCTGGAGAATCTTTCAGGTGTGTCTGGATAAGAGTCATCAATATGATGCCGCAACTCCTGTGCTGCTCGTTCCTGCAGCCTTTCTATCTGGTTTCGTTTCCCTCCTTGAACATTTTCTATGGATATGGTAAGGTATTTAGGAATATAATTTTGGTTTTTACCTCTGCTCAGCTACAGAGCATTAAAGTCAACCAAGAAATATAATTTTGAAGGTAGAAATGGTATTTTTTTTTTCATATTTGTCAATCTAATTTTCTACTACACAATTTTTTTTTTTTGGCAAAAACTATTAATTGCAGTGCTCCTTGTGTAATTCTCCCAAATGACCTTCCTTTCACCTGTGTTATATCTATTCAAATACTTCTTACAGTTATTCTTTCACTTATGTGGCCTCCATATCACAACTGTCTCAAGAGCCCCTATTATGTGTTACTACTAAAGAAACAAACATTATTATTATTATTATTGTTTATTATAATTATCATTATATGAATACAGTAAATCCCTTCTCCTATATAATTACTAATTTAAAAACAGAAACTTTTGTTTTTCTTTTGGGGCCACCTTGCCTTGGTTGGATATGGCCAGTTTGTTGACAGAAGAAGAAAGAATAAAGTACAGTAAACAATTAGGTATCTAAGTGCTGTACACAAAATGAACGTCTACAATGTGTACTGTATATATAGACACTATACATGTATGTATATTCAAGCATCAGTTGATTCTGTTTCCAGAACATCCCTCAACTTTTTATAAAAAGCTGTAAATTTTTTATTACGATGAGGAATATGCCAATCACACATCATTCACGCCGATAATCTCCTCTCTGGGCCCAGGAATACTCACTGTACACTTATCAATCAGGAATATAACTTCTTTGTCTGTGATTGCATATCAAAGCTCACTTGTGGTCAACATTGCTAAAAGCTTCAATGTGCTCCAAGCTTTGGTTGTCAACTTCATGTGACATTATAAACACTAATTTCACCTCTCCTCTGCAGACATTTGTTTAGTCACCAAGTATAACATTCATTTTATACCCTTACTAACCTCCACTCTGCTCATCCCTACCCTTGCAATACAATCCACTGTCGTGCTATATGAGCCATATGGATTTAGCACTTGTTTTCAAATAAAATAATAGCAACATTATAAAGGGAATTCTAAACATATTTTATTTCATGCCACTTATCATTCTTCATATTAACATAACTTCTAAATCAGATACTCTTTTGAAAGTGAAATAACAAAAAAAGGCACAATACAGTGACTGGAACGATACACAAATAACCCGCACATAAAAGAGAGAAGCTTACGACGACATTTCGGTCCGACTTGGACCATTTACAAAGTCACACTGTGTGACTTTGTAAATGGTCCAAGTCGGACCGAAACGTCGTCGTAAGCTTCTCTCTTTTATGTGCGGGTTATTTGTGTATTGAAAGTGAAACTTTTCATATATATCTTATAAACCATGCTCATTCTCTCTACTACGTATTTCACTAGTAGCATTTATATAGTAAACACTTTTATTTTTGGTAAAAGCAGAACAACAAACAAATGAATGTGTTTATTTTTCTCACCATATTGGAAGAGGACTATGGTTTTTAAGTATGCATATTCATGCTCATCTGGTTGAAGTTTAGCCATTGCTGTTACAAAATCTTGTAGGCGATTTATGTGGTCAGAAACCTGAAAACATCATAATCACTTTTATTTCATAGACAAATACAAGTATGTACTAGATTGTAAATACAGATCCACATCCTTTTATCTGAAATACTGAAATTCAAAAAGTTCCGAAAACCGAAGTCTTTTTGTGGAGTGTGGAGTCATCTCTGTGCTGGGTCACACTGCCACGTGGCAGTGTTAAGAATTATTCTGAAATTCGAAAAAGTCTGAAATTTGAAACAATACAGGCCCCAAGGGTTTCGGATAAAGGGACGTGCACCTGTATATATAATATCAATGTGTGGTGTAAATATTATGCAGAAAATTCGGAGTGTGGAAATTAGGAGAAGGTGTGGAGTTAATAAAAGTATTAGTCAGAGGGCAGAAGAGGGGTTGTTGAGGTGGTTTGGTCATTTAGAGAGAATGGATCAAAGTAGAATGACATGGAAAGCATATAAATCTATAGGGGAAGGAAGGCGGGGTAGGGGTCGTCCTCGAAAGGGTTGGAGAGAGGGGGTAAAGGAGGTTTTGTGGGTAAGGGGCTTGGACTTCCAGCAAGCGTGCGTGAGCGTGTTAGATAGGAGTGAATGGAGACGAATGGTACTTGGGACCTGACGATCTGTTGGAGTGTGAGCAGGGTAATATTTAGTGAAGGGATTCAGGGAAACCGGTTATTTTCATATAGTCGGACTTGAGTCCTGGAAATGGGAAGTACAATGCCTGCACTTTAAAGGAGGGGTTTGGGATATTGGCAGTTTGGAGGGATATGTTGTGTATCTTTATATGTGTATGCTTCTAGACTGTTGTATTCTGAGCACCTCTGCAAAAACAGTGATAATGTGCGAGTGTGGTGAAAGTGTTGAATGATGATGAAAGTATTTTCTTTTTGGGGATTTTCTTTCTTTTTTGGGTCACCCTGCCTCGGTGGGAGACGGCCGACTTGTTGAAAAAAAAAAAAAAAAAAAAAAAAAAAATTGGAAATTATTAAGCATTTTACCATATTTCGCGGCTTATAAGACGCTGCTTATAAGACTTGTTTTAGATTCAATGGTTCGGCACTGGATGTAAATGGAAGAGCTACAGCCCACCCCACACCCCAAACTTATAGCTCCTGTCACTGATCTTCAGTTTATAGGACACAGGGTGGTTTTGGAGACATTTTATGATAAAAAAAAAAATGCGTCTAATAAGCCGCAAAATACGGTATATAAAAAAGAGACCGAAACAAAGAGGTTTTAATTATATACACTAAGTTCAAGACTACAATAACTTAAGGGCATGGATAAAGGCTTCTGGCAAGTCCATTAGCATTCAACTTCATTTTGTATGAAGGATTTTCCTGAACAACCTCATGGAAATGTAAGCACTGTACTGAGAAGTATTATATAGTGTGACAAACCTGTTTGAACCGGGACGATGTGAGCTTCTCGCAATCTGCAGCTTGTGTGAGGTGTGACACTATGGCAGTGAGAATAGTGTTGAGGGACATGATGCGATTACATTGAGCCATACCCAGGGTGAACAATTCTGACCAGCAACCCCGAACCAACGTCACCTGTGTCTCTTGGCTAAATGAGAATATGAAGTTGATTTGCAATTATAATATTTTGGTAGTTACTTATGTACATGTACACTATATCAAAATGAGCTAATAAACATTTTTAAATTCATCTTCCACCATTCAATGTCAAATAATAATAAAAATGCTCAGCAAATAATTCAGCTATACTTAAAAATAATATTCAATGAGCTCTTGTCATTAAAGAAAATACAGTAAATCCTCAATTTAACTAACTAGTAGGGAAAAGCGGGTAGCAAGTACGTAATGGCAATTGTGGCAGACAGAGATGAGATTGTTTTACTGTGATTCTAACAATAATGGACAATTCTGTAACCAACAGACTTTGTCCACTGTTTCCAAATCAATTAGCACAGCGAATTTTGATACCTATTTCTGAAGTCTGTTAAACCATTAAATTGAGCGTTTAGTAATTTTTCTAAACTGTAAAGAGATTACAAAGAATACTACTGATTTCATTCAAGACTTTATACAATAGAGGAAGGCTGATATTATTTTTATTATTAAAAATGTATGTACTATATATGAGAGTACAGTAAATTTTCTCATAAAACACACGTCGATACTTTTTTCATAGAACATTAATCACTTTTCTTTTTAATATTTCTACACAATTTTGACTAAATGTACGTGCCATTAAGTTTTAAAATGATGACTAAGGCTTAAAAATATTTCTGTTAGGATATTTCTACAGGTGTAGCATGGGGTGAGCTGACTGCTGATGACCCACAGATACAGTCATGTAACTATCTTTAAATACTTATTTATCAACAAGCAAAGGGAAAAAGTAGTTTAAAATTCTTCCTCATCACAATCATTTACTGCTCACAGCCACAACAGCATTCCCAACACCTCTATACATATCAACAAGCAATAAAACAAAGAATTTAGGATAAATTCTTACTTCTGTTGTACTTTAACATATTTTACAGTGATAAAATTATGTATTAAATTTAAAAACACATTAACGGCATAATAGCCTTGTGTGATTTCTTTGCAAGGCAGACCATGCCTATTGTCTCCAGAAGGAATAATGACATACAGTAGAACCTCGGTACTCAAACAGCTCCCTACTCGAACAAAGTTCAGCGCTCGACCAAACAAATCGACCTGACAGTACTTTGCTGTAAACTATTTTGTGTTTCTTCACATTTTTTGGTGTTTTTTATATTATTTGCATAAATAAATCACCATGGGGCCTACGGGCCTTCTGGAATGAATTAAGTTCGAGTACTGAGGTTTCACTGTACCTCAACAAACACCAGCTTCTTTCCAGGCCTTTCTTATCTTTATTTAATAAATAAGCTTTTATTGAAGTTTTGGGTATATAACATACATTTCTAAATTAAAAGGCAATAGCATCCATAATGTATTTTGTCAAAAACTTCGTTATTTTTATGAAATAAGAAATTTAAAAAAATTATCATTTTAAGAGGTATCAAGAGCCTAACCTTATTTTTCTCATGTTTTTTCATATAGCATAACATGAAAATATATAAAGCATCAATTTCAGGAATGTAACCCTCGTATTACACGAGAATTCAACATACTAAAAGAAACCAAGCTGATTTCTATTATTGTATTATTGTACTCTGATGAGAAAAGCAAGTTTGGGATTATCAGATAAAAGGAATTGCTTTTGAATGTAGTCTGATATTGCTTTCTGCAACCAAAACAGGTAATTACTGTACAGGCAAGCCCCCAGCTTATACAACAGGTTAGGTTCTGGGCTACTGCTGTAAAGCAAAAATCTCTGTAATATGAAACAGCCTTTTTTCCACTTTGAAATGTATATAAAAGCCTGATAACATGTTTACAATTTCATATATTAAGTAAGCAATAGATTTTTTTTTTTCAACAAACCGGCCATATCCCACCAAGACAGGGTGACCTAAAAAGCAAAATGAAAAGTTTCTCTCTTTAAATTTAGTAATGTATACAGGAGTATACATGCAGTTTAAAAACTGTAGCGTAAAGCACCCTTCTGGCAAGACGGTGATGGAGTGAATGATGGTGAAAGTTTTTCTTTTTCGGGTCACCCTGCCTTGGTGGGAATCGGCCAGTGTGATAATAATAATAAAAAAAAATAATACAGGAGAAGGGGTTACTAGTCCCTTGTTCCCAGCATTTTAGTTGTCTCTCATGACACATGACTAACAGAAGAATTCTGTTCCACTTCCCCATGGGAATAAGAGGAAATAAACAAGAACAAGAACTAGTAAGAAAATACTAGAAGAAAACCCAGAGGGGTGTGCATATACAGTGGAACCTCGGCTTATGAATTTAATCTGTTCTGTGACCTTGTTCGTATCCTGAGTTCTTCATATGCTGAGTCAATTTTCCTCATTTAAATTAATTGAAATGCAACTAATTCGTTCCAGCCTCTCAGGAGGCATGACAAAATAATGCTAATATCAACTCTACGGGTTAGTTATCTATCACAATTCATCTAATATGACATAACAAACAATATTAATAACACAGAAATACGATATATACTCTAGAATGAATAAAATAGGCCATAATATGGCAAGTGATGGCGACACCGGCAGCGGCAGAAAGTATCCGCCGTTTACTCTCCCACTTCAGTATCTTCCCAGTCCATAACCCCCACACCTAGCTTGTGTTTTTGGGGTGTCAGGAACGGATTAATTTGATTTCCATTATTTCTTATGGGGAAAATTAATTCGGCTAACGATAATTTCGCCTAACGTTGAGCTCTCAGGAACGTATTAATATCGTTAGGCGAGGGTCCCCTGTATATTGTATTATTATTATTATTATTACTACATATTATAATATTATTATTATTATTGTTATTATTATTAATTTAGGGAACTGGAGCACAGATCCAATTCCATAGATCAAGAGCCCATCACCATGTACATAATAACAATAATTAATAATACAATGTAATAATAATAATGAGAAACTTCAAAAGGCTGCCAGTAGTTGGCACCACCATCAGCAAAACACTGGTAACCACTACTAGTACACTTTTCACCTGTCTAGACTTAAGTAGTCTACAAGTATTAGGTTAAGTCTGCTTGAAATGCCTCAGCATGATAGTGGCTTTCTTTGCTCCAATCATATTATGATATGTAAACACATACTGTAATCTTTGCAAAGAAATAAATACAGTATTTTATTTATTTATTTATTTAAGGAACCTCCCTTGAGGGGAAAGTTCTCATCCTGAAATTTCCTTCTATCCAGAATCAAAAAATCTACCAAACAACGGTTCGTAACCTGAAAAATTTGCATGGTGGGGCGTTCGTAAGCCGAGGTTCCACTGTATATGCTTGTACAACAGGGCCTCATTTATATGGCAGGTTAGGGTCCTGCCAGAAAGCAGATATTGCTGGAAAGTAGAATGGCATTCTTTCCACTTATAAATGCATATAAATGCCAGATAACAAGTTTACACTAACATACATATATTAAGTTAGCAATAGAACAAGGCATTAAAAACAATAAAAAGTAAAATACACACACAGTACACCCATTACTTACCTTAAAATATTTGTAGTCCTAATGTAGGGTGAGAGGTGAGTTTTATTTGTAGGAAGTCAGGTTTGGGAGGTATGATAGCCAGCCAGGTCAGCCCACCCCACCCCACTCACACCTAATATGCTACAACATTTAATTAAAGCACCCCAGAGCGATAAAATACATATACAATACATTCATTAATTACCTTATTATATTTGTAGTCTTATTGTGGAGCAAGAGGCGAGTTTTATTTGTAGGAAGTCAGGATTAAGAGGTTTGGTAGCCAGACAGGTCAGCCCACCCCACCCACATGTAATATACTATTACATTTAACTCTTTGACTGTTTTGGTCGTATATATGCGTCTTACGCGCCAATGTTTCTGACGTATTAATACGTGTAAATTCTAGTGACTTCAAATCAAGTAGGAGAAAGCTGGTAGGCTCACATGTGAGAGAATGGGACTGTGTGGTCAGTGTGCACCATATAAAAAAAAATCCTGCAACACGCAGTGCATGAGAAAAAAAAAACTCCGACCATTTTTTTGGATTAAAACGCCGACTTTGAGGTGTATTTTCGTATAGTATTTATCATTGTATTCTCGTTTTCATGGTCTCACGTGATAAAATTGAAAACATATTACAGAAATAGAAATGATTTTGATTAGTTTCATGATGAAAACGACCTTGAAATTGAGCTCAAAGTAGCAGAAATGTTCGATTTTTACCAATGTTCAAGAGTAAGCAAATCACACCACACATCTAATAAACATCAACTGGGGAGTCTAATATTCTTTCACTAGTGCACTGATATTATTTATACCATTTTTACAATAATGCAGTAGTCTGCATAACTAAATGTTTTATTTTTTGTATGAATAAAAAATAAAAATAGAAGAGATGTGACTAATTAACAGAGGATATGTTATTTTAGTGCCAAGAATGTCTACATTGTTTATTCTGGACCCTATTTTGAAATTGGCATCTTTTTTAGTTTGCATGATATTGGCCAAATTGCCAATTTCTGACCACTTTATTAGGTAGTTCAAATTGGTAAATGGGCGGTTTCTTGTACGCAGTTGATAGAACAAATGGAGTTCTAAAGAAATAGCTATGAGTTTGGTCAACTTGAACAATGGAATTGGCCAAAAATAGGGCTCAAAGTCGGTGAAATTGCCGATGTGTATATGTCGCCGAGACCGCTAACTTCGCGGGAGCGTAATTCCGTGAGTTTTCGACCAAATTTCGTACTTTTGGTGTCATTACCACTGGGAAAACATTCTCTATCATTTCATAAGAAAAAATTTTTTTTTTTTTCCAAAAATTTATCGACATAGAATGACAGTTTCAGAAAGGGGCCTGTGACAGTCAAAGGGTTAATTAAAGCGCCCCAGAGTGATAAAATACATATACTGTACAGTGCATTCATTAATTACTTTAAAATATTTGTAGTCTTAATGTATGGTGAGAGGTGAGTTTTATTTGTAGGAAGTCAGGTG